GTTAAATGCTGTCCTTAAATTTTTCTCAAATCGTTTAAATATTATAGCATCATTGAAAGCAGTCATGTTTAATCAGAGGTCTGTGAACTTTGGGAATTAATACACTTTGATTTTCATTAACTCAGTGGTTCCTAAACTTTCTTCTTTCTTTTTTTTTTCTTCTTCTTCTTCTTCTTTTTTTTTTTTTTTTTTTTTTTTTGAGACAGAGCCTCAAGTTGTTGCCTTGGGTAGAGTGTCGTGTCATCACAGCTCACAGCAACCTCCAACTCCTGGGCTCAAGTGATTCTCCTGCCTCTGCCTCCCAAAGTAGCTGGGACCACAGGCACAACATCCTTAAGCGTCTTAGTTTTCTTCACAGTAATCCTAGGCTAAAGGAAATACCCAGTGGTTTTTTGTTTAGTTGGTAGTTAGGTACAAACAACTGAATACGTGCTAATGTCTCAACAACTATTTAGCTGTTTGAAAATATACTCTGTAATGTGTTAGTTGAAAGGATAAATACTCTTAGTTTATCTTTACGTGACAATCATTACCTTCTCTCTCTCTCTCTCTTTTTTTTTTGAGACAGAGCTTCAAGCTGTCTCCCTGGGTAGAGTGCTGTGAAATAACAGCTCACAGCAACCTCCAACTCCTGGGCTCAAGCGATTCTTCTGCCTCTGCCTCCCAAGTAGCTGGGACTAGAGGCACCCGCCACAACGTTGGCCCAGCTATTTTTGGGGGGGGGGGTTGCAGCTGTCGTTGTTGTTGTTTGGCAGACCTGGGCTGGATTCAAACCCGCCAGCTCAGGTGTATGTGGCTAGTGCATTAGCCACTTGAACCACAGGTGCCGAGCCCAATCATTACCTTCTAACGGGGTAGGTGTGCCTGTTAAGTATTGTAGTAAGTAGTCCTCATACTTTTGAAGCAGCTTGGAAACTGCCACCTGCATTTCCTGTTCAGGTTGATTTTTAGATGGTCTTTGCTTTTTACTAAGGCAACTGCCACACATCAAGCATTGCAAACTATGGCATTGATGAGAAGAATATAGTGCAATCTGACATTGAAAAAAAAAATTTTTTTTTTTTTTTTTGACAGTCTCACTTGTCACTCTTGGTAGAGTGCTGTGGCGTCTTACATCTGCAAGCTCCTGTGCTTAAGCAATTCTCTTGCCTACAGGCACCCACCACAACTCCCGGCTGTTTTTAGAGACAGGGGTCTCACTTTTGCTCAGTCTGCTCTTGAACTGGACAGCTCAGTCGATCACTGGCCTTGGACTCCCAGCGTGCTGGGATTATAGGCAGGAGCTATGGCTCCTGGCCCTCTGTATTCTTTTCTTTTCCTCTTTCTTTCTTTCTTTCAAACAGAGCCTCAAGCTGTCATAGAGTGCCATGGCGTCACAGCTTACAGCAACCTCAAACTCTTGAGCTTATGCAATTCTCTTTCCTCAGCCTCCCAAGTAGCTGGGACTACATGCACCCACCCCACAACTAGCTGTATTTTTGGTTGCAGCTGTCGTTGTTTAGCAGGCCTGGGGCCAGGCTTGAACCCACCAGCCTCAGTGTATGTGGCTGACACCCTACTCACTGAGCCATGGGCTCTGAGCCCCTTTGTATTCTTTTCATCTCTCTGCAAGCTCTTTGTGAAGTTTTGCATCTAACCTCCCACTGGGTTTCCCCCAGCCCCCAATCTTTGTGTGGCCTCCTTCCTTCTTTCATTAGGGTGTGTTTTCTAGGGCCCACCCTATCTTCTGAGCTTCCAGCCCTGCCTGAACTGTCATCATATTTCCGGGTCCTCCTCATGCATCTCCCTCACACCAGCAGCATCTTTGTCCCTATAGGCTTGTTTGGTTTATGCCACAGTCACCTCTGGGACCACAAGGCAGTTAAGTTAGTTCTGGCCAAACTTGTACTAGAAGTACCCTGATGGGATGCAGTGACTGAAGCAAGCTCACTCAATGGGATGTCTGCTTTTAGAAACCACTGGAGTCCATGATGCTTGCTTGTTAAGCTATCACAGTGTTGCATGATGCCCACTATGAAACAGTTTCTTAGGGAAATGACCCATCTTCACCTTGAACTCCTGGGCTCACTGCTCTCTTCTTTCCCGGGATACTCTCCACAGGCTGCTGCCCAGCTAGCTGCCTTCAGTCCCCACCACTCCCTGACACAATGTGTCTGATTTCAGTTCTGGGTGTCCCTTCCCGGTTCTCAGCACTGTGTTTGGGAAAGGTACCGTGGTTTGAATCTCTGAAGCCATCTCTCCCTTTCTTGTGTCTCAGGAATACCATTGGAGGGTACACATTGTGAATTCTTGCCTGGCATCTTGGGCACAGTTACACTTCATGAAATAACTTGTTTAACAATGGATACGAGACTCCCTTTACACACCTAGACAGCATTGCTGTAGCACACCCTCCTTTCTGTTCCTTGGAGGGTTCCATGTAGGTGACATGAGTACGTTTCTGTCTATGGTGTTGTCCTCTTCTTTGAGCTAAAGGATTAGTTCAGGTTTTTAAAAATGAGTCGCAATCCCCACTCTGAGTAGGCATAACTCAAGCATCTTAAATCTCTTACCTGTTTGGCGAATAAAGCAAAAAAGAGATTTGGTTCTCATACTGAATCTATGAGATTCAGAGTACAGGTCAGCCTTCTGTATTCCTTGGTTCTATATCCAAGGATCCAACCAACCTCGGATTAGAAATAATTCAGAAATGGTTTTAAGCATAGAGAAGGATGTTTATAGGTTATGGGCAAATACTATACTACTTTATATAAGGGACTTGAGGGTTCCTGGGACCAACCAACACCTATGGATACTGAGGGACAACTGTACAGTGTGTTTGCCATTGCCAGTCATAACTCTAACCCAGTCATTTGTTGACTTCAGAGTTGGATTTATGCCCTGCCCCCTACAGAGTGTTTTACTAGGTGGTCTTGAGCTGCTTCCACACAGGTCCTTTCTCTGTGCCAGATTCTTTCTTACAGCATTGTTGTGTTCATGCATTTTCTAGCCAGGTACTTGGAGTCAGCCAGTGCATTATGGAAGGAAGTTGTCTCTCTGGAGATGTTGGGTTTTCTTTTCTTTTCCTTTCTTTCTTTTTTTTTTTTTTTTTTGTGGGGGGAGACAGAGTCTTACTTTGTCACCCTTGGTAGAGTGCTATGGCATAGCAACCTCAAACTCCTGGGCTCAAGTGATTCTCTTGCCTCAGCCTCCCCAGTAGCTGGGACTACTAGGGACTACAGGCGTCCGTGACAACGCCCAGCTATATTTTGTTGTTGTTCGGTTTTTTGTTTTTGTGTTTTTGTTTAGCAGGCCCCAGCGAGGTTTGAACCCACCATCCCTGGAGCATGTGGGTTACTCATGCTATTCCCTGGAATAGCCCTAACCACTAGCTACCCCACCCAGATGTTGGTTTTTCCAGCTTGTCAGCCTGTGAGCTCTCCTGTAGCCACAGCCTTGGTGTAGGGAGTGTATGGCTAGGACCTATATGTCAGGCAGTCAGCCTGCCAGCCACGAGCTGGGAGGTCCAGCTCTACCCAGCCCCTAACATAGACTACAAAGTTAGCTTTTTCTACCAAGTTCTCCCATGGTGCTTTTAAAATATAATAGTCCAGAGCTGTGTTTACAAGAAAGTTTATAGGAATCTTGGCTTAAATTATACTTGGACAGAATTAGTACATATTCACCATCCTAGTCATTAGTGACTGGAATGGTGAATATGTGCTATGCATGAAGCTGTTCCTGACCCACTAAAAGTATGTTCCACAATGAAAGCCATGATAGAGCCAGCCATTCTGCCCTGTCTTTCGTGTCCCTCTGTCTACCAGAGTCTTGTGGTCCTAAAGATTTCTTCCTAAGCCGTTGTCTGACTGTGTCAGCCAGAAAGACAGGTTTTCTTACCTCCCTTAGTTCGTACTTTTATTCTTAGAGCTGCTTGTTAGCTACAGGTAGCCCCTGTAAGTAATGGGGGATGAACTAGAAACTTCTTACGGCTGAGTAGAAAAGTGTCATAAACATGAAGTACAGAAAAAGGATGCAAGCAGCCTGTACACTCATACATTTGAGCAGATATTTGAGTCAACACTATAGTGGGTAGGTTGGTATATTTCAGTTTGATATGCATACCCCAGACCTGTGATTATATAGATCTTGGAGTTTGTCCCATTGGAATAAATGGACAAGTACACAGAGTCATCCTTGCAAGGATATTTGTGGCAGGGTTTACAGAACTGGAAGAGCGCTCAGCAGGGTCATTCAGGTGTGAGGAGAGCTCCAGAGGGGTGCTCACATAGGCACTGGGAGTGGAGCTCTGTGTTGCCACAGGAGGTGCCCCCTTTTTGTTAATAAAATGATAGATCAAATATGGATTTGTTTTTATGTTATCAGCAATACATTTGTGGGTTTTTCTCATCAGCAAACATACATTATTTAAGATACTGATAAAATGTTCTCAGCGTGAGGCCTTGCCTGAGTGCTTGGCAGTGGACTGTGTGGGCCATCAAGAGTAGATGAGCCTGGATTTCTTGCCTGGCCCTGGCTTACCAAGTGAAATTACTCACTTGTCTACATGCTTTGTGAGCCACAAATACAAACTAGAATTTTAATGTAAATATCATTTTGAAGGTCTGCAAATTTTTCTCTTCACATAGGCATCATCCCTTAAAAGCTTAAAGGTGGGGAAGGAGTGGGTATAGGTCTATAAGATGTGGCTTTATCGTACCTCCTTCCTCAGAAACTTCATAGCTCCCAGAGCCCCTGCTAGGTCCTGGTCAGCTTTCTCCTATACATTCTGCTCCCCTTCTCTTGGTGCATCATTTTCCTGTCTTACTGGATGTTGAATCTTTGAGGAGAGGAGGCAGTAGATCCCTTTTAGACAGCACATGGAGTAGATCCCCTGGCTAGCCTGACCAGTTGCCACCAGAGAAGCTTAGTCCTTGGAGGCCACAGTTGGAGGGACTTGTCATTACAAATAGTGGTGTCTGCTAACTAGTCTCTGATGGGGACTCTTCTTTCCCTTGTAGAGTACCCAGTGAAGAATGTGATGGGATCACTAGCATGTCTGTGGAGAGCGGCCCTGGGACGAGATTGAGAAATCTGCCCGTAATGGGGGATGGACTAGAAACTTCCCAAATGTCTACAACGCAGGCCCAGGCCCAACCCCAGCCAGCCAACACAGCCAGCACCAATCCTCCACCCCCGGAGACCTCCAACCCCAACAAGCCCAAGAGGCAGACCAACCAACTGCAATATCTGCTCAGAGTGGTGCTCAAGACACTATGGAAACACCAGTTTGCGTGGCCTTTCCAGCAACCTGTGGACGCCGTCAAGCTAAACCTCCCTGTGAGTAGCTTGGGCAGAGCCCAGTGGTCCTCAAGGTCTCCTGCAAGTTTCCTGGTGAAGGTAGTCTCCACGGGAGGGTAGAGATGCATTTGGAGTCATGGTTGAGAGCTCAGGCCCAGCTCTGAATGCCAGTACCAGAGGGAACCTTGAGGAAGTGGTTTCAGCAGTCTTGAGGAATCACAGTTGGAGAAGAGAATGAATGAACTAAGTGGCTTAAACAGTAACTGGTATCTTGGCCATCAGGATTCTGGGGAAAACTTTGTAAAGACTAAAACAAGATGGGAAAGGGATATTTAGATTCCTTCCAGTCCCATGGTGAGCTGGCCCCTTTCTCTTCAGGTGTGGCTGGCTAGGTCCAGGAGAAGTAATGTGGCTGGTCAGACTGTGCTGGAGGGGGACTGGCTTGCTGTGGTAGTGGTTGCTAGTGGCATCATCATCACTTGGAGCTCAGAGGGGGAAATGTCATTGGTTTCTCTCCTATGGAGGTGGCCCTTGCTGGAGAGAGGGAGAGTTAAGAGGAGGTCCTGGCTACCGCTACATAGCTAGAGAACAGTAGTGCGCTCTCTCTCCTTGTCAGGGCCACACAGTGCCCTTGCTCTTGTTATTTTGTATCCCCACTTTCCTTCTTCTTCCCTAGAGTTTTCAGCTTGCTTCTAACCCTAGCATACAGTTCTGCAATCAAAACTGAATCTCAGGAAGCAGGCAAAATACATGCTTTAATTTTTTTCTCTTCTTTCTATTTTTAAACTGCCTACTACTGTTTGCTAAGTTCCACATACTCCCTGGCAAGTGGATTAGGTGATAATAGCAGCTGGCTTAGGCTGGGTCTGCAAGCATTGAAACTGCTTGGGTACTAGCCTCTGGTAGGTGTCTAGACTCAAGATGAAGCATGACCCTCCTGGCTTGAAAGTTGTATCCATTGTATCCATGCAGTGTAATCTGTCCACTAGATACATGCCATTTGTACTCAGGGGAAGAGAGAACTGGGAGGGGGGCAGTGAAGGTCTGGGTCATGAAGTGGCTGAGGAAAAGGGTGCAGGTAGAAAAGGGGCCATATCCAACACTGACCAAAATAAGGAGTGGATATAGGCATGGTGTCCTGCAGGTCTTTCAGGAGAGGCTGTTGAGGGATTTTGCTGCCTTGGTCTCTAGATGGGCTGGGCAGGGTCCACAGTTGAGAGTGACATTCTCAGAGCAAATGCAGAGAAGCAGGAGAGAAGTAGTTAGAAGAGGGTGGGTGGGCACTCAGGGGTGCCAAGACTTTTATGAGGGAAGCAAATGACCTCCAGACGAGAGCAGGTGCCCAAATTTCCACATTAGATGCTACAAGGAAGTCAAAAAGATGAGGATTCCGACCTGACCATCCTGCTGGCCTTTATGAGGGCATTGATGACCTTAGGAGGAGATGATGCAGTAGAAACCAGATTTGCAACGGTGTGAATGAGAAGGTGAGGATGCAGAGCCACCATTTCAAGAAACTTGGCTTTGCAGGGAAAACGTGTCAGGGCCAGAAGAGCAGAGGGGTCAGTTTGTTACAGGAAAATGCAGAAGGGGACTGAGGCATGGAGGGCTGAAAAGGGAAGCAGGGCTGGATGGAGAACTTGAGATCACCAAGGAGATAGCAGCATCCCAGGTGACAACGAGGGAACAGCACTGGCCAGGGGGGACAGACATGTGGGTGGTCTTTTAGGCCAAAGGGTTTGTGAGTTCATGGTCAGTGTCTATGAAGTGGAAGCTGTGCTCTCAAGAATGGCCAGGACTCTGCTGCTCTGGGCATTGTGAATGCACCTGTCCCTTTGACTTTTGACATTATTCTTGGCGGCTCTGATACAGGAAGAAGGAGGCGGTTGGTAGTGGCACTAATTTGATGTTTTCAGACATGGGAGAGTGAGGTACCCAAAAGGGAGGTTGTTTTGCAAGAGTGGTCTCAGGGCACTGGTGCAGGCTAATGCAAAGGGGCTGATTGCCTAAAAGCATCATCATGCTGAAGCCCAGTTTTCTGGGGACCCCCTCCTTTAAGAGATGTTAAGAGGGCCAGCAAAGAGAGAATAAAGTTCTTTTTCTGTTTTCAATGCCTTTCAGATATTTGCCTTCATTGTGGCCTCTTTCCATGTCCCTAAACCTATTGCTCCAAATTTCAATCCCTCATCCCCCAATATTCTCTCTTTATCTCAGCTCCTCCTCTGCCACTGGTATGGCCAATTCAAAAACCCAACATCATTCTTAGAGAGTTTTGGCCATAGGATAAAATCTAAATTTCCATTAGGGCAGGTGTATTTGAACTTGGTTCTCTTGGGAAAGAAGTTAAGAGCATAGAAAGTCCATTTTGGGTCTCCCCTTCTGGCCACATGCCTGGGGCACCTGGGTACGTACCCTAGCTCTTACCAGGGCACAGGGCCATGACCTGTGCCAGCTTTTAACGTGTAAGTGGGTGGCTTTTTTCCCCTTTCTTGTACATGTCAGAGCAAATAAAAACCCAGCAACCCATGTTCGCCTTTCCAATACTGTCCAGTATTTCTGGGCAGTGGGTTTACTCTCTCTTCCCTGCACTAATTTTGTGCCTCCAGGCTGCCCTTCTGCCATTGGGATCCCACTTGTCCTTGGTTCTGATAGCTCACCTAAGCTTGATTCTAGTGCATCTGCCCTTAGTGGGGGTAATGGCTTTAGAGAACTGATTGTCAGTGAAATCAACCAGGAGACCTGAGCTGGGCCAGCTCTTGGGGGCTTACTGTCTATATAGCTCCCCTGCTATACTCCCACTGGACCAAATTCCTCTGGCAATTGTTCTTAAAAATAAACTTTTGTTTTAAAATAGGTTCAGGTTTAGAGCAAAGATGTGAGGATAGTGCAGTTTGATCTTGAGGGCCTTGAGACCTTTATATGTGCTGTGTGACTCCTTTTGTGTGGCATTTGGAGAGTAAGATCTGAAGGTTTAAGGATTGGGTCTGAATGTTTTGTTTTTTGATTTTAACAGGACTGCAAAAGATTTCTCATTTGGCAGTTAACCTGGTTAGTTGTTCAACTGTATCTGGATACTAGTGAAGCCTTAGTGGTAGACCAATATATCAGGCAGATTTGACTAAGGTTCTTTAGCAATGACAGGAAGCAGGGAGTGTAGTAGTTATGGATAGACTCCAGCCCTGGTGCCTTTGGGATTTGCATTTTATGGATTTGTAAAAAAAAAATTTTTTTTTGGCTGGGGGCTGGGTTTGAACCCGCCACCTCTGGCATATTGGGCTGGCACCCTACTCCTTTGAGCCACAGGCACCGCCCCTAGATTTGTAAAATTTTTAATAGTAGGGACAGACTACCTGCCATGGCTGTTTTGCTGGGTAAGAATTTCCTCTTTAAAAGTTCTCTGCTTTCTCCGTTATTTACATTTAAAATCATAGAATATTTTAATTTCAAAAAGAAAAATGTAAATTCTGGAAAAGACTACTTCTTCCAAGATAGAGCAGTTGGCCATCTTGTACATTTTCCCTCCAAATCACCAGCTACCATTTAGGAATCCTTGCCTGATCCACTTTATCTTGAGTCCCCTTTCTTGTTGATGCCAAGGAAGAGCTTTGGGTCTGTGCTGTGTCTCGTCAGTTTACCACCCTGTAGCAGCAGCCTGGAGTGAGATCCACAGGCCAACCCAGCCAGCCTAGCATGTACACCGTGTAGCTGTTGAGATGACCTTGGCCTTTTGCTTTCTCTGCTCTCTAGGATTACTATAAGATTATTAAAACACCTATGGATATGGGAACAATAAAGAAGCGCTTGGAAAACAACTATTACTGGAATGCTCAGGAATGTATCCAGGACTTCAACACTATGTTTACAAATTGTTACATCTATAACAAGGTGAGATGTGGGGGGCAAGCGTCCAACTGCCCTAGGGGAGGTTGTGGCAACGTTGGGCATGTCAGGAGCTAGTTGGGGGAGGGAGTGCTGGGAGCTGCTGGGCTTCAAGTGTGGCAAGAGGAGAGCCTTAGAAGTGGAGGTAACAGGACTTGTGGTTGTGCCTGTGACTGTGTGTGTTCTTTTGTGGGGGGAGGGTGCTGGCCATGTTTAACTTGCAAGCCATCGTTGGTAGCCTGAAGCATGTGCTTCTCATGTCCTTGGGATTTTGGTTCCTGAGCAGCATGTCTAGTAAAGGTGTGAGGACAATAGTGGTGACTCCCAACAAAGTCCCTATGGGTGACATAAATTGTCAGGAAAGAGCCTGGTAAAACATAGTTGTGCAGAGGTGTGCACAGGCAGAGATCTCCATGTGAGCAACAGTGTGATGGGGCTGGCGCAGAGCTAAGCTGCTTTGTGGGTGACGGTCACTTCAAACTGTGGACATGACTGTTGCCATGGAATCAAGTGTCCCCCTGATCTTACTTGTAGACCTGAAGGTCACTTCCTAACCCCATAGCCAAACCTCTCAGCTCGGCTGTGCCATGAAGCCAGATCATTTGTTTACAGTTCAGACCACAGATGTGATTAAAATCAACCCTTTCAAATAGAACGACTCTGGAGGGAGACACTATACAGAACTCAGCTTTTGACCTCTGCTGGTGTAGTGGGTAAAATGACCCAGAAGAGATGGGTAGGTGAGTTTCTTGAAGTTTACTGTGTTTTTTTAAAAGTCTCAGCTCTTACCACATAGGTTTGAGCAAAATGTGCACACCAGGCTCACAGTTTAGAGCTGAGTGGGAACAGCATGTTATGGATGAGGTGACAGAGTGGGGACCCCTAAAGCAGTGTGAGATGGGCAGTGCCCAGAGTCCTGGTGAGCTGCCTTGGGGGTACATTGGGGAACATTTTGGGGGCCCTGCTAAAAGTATCCTGGCAAGAAATCCTGTGTTATTCATGTATTTTTAGTGAAGTTGATTTGTATCAAAGGAGGTCCTAATGCAGGGAGGGCACCTGTCCGTGATTGGCTGAGCTTGGTAGATGCTAATGGCATTAGGTTGGTTTTGCAGACAACCCAGAGCTTAAAAAATGAAAGAGGGCAGGCTTAGTATACCTGTAGGAACACACACCTCTGTGATAACCTGGTAGCCTAGCCTTTGTGGCTCTTTGGGGTACAGATTGGGGAAGGACTCTGAATATAACGATTCAGGCTTTTGGGCAGGGGGTGGTGCACGGGGTGCCCTGTCTACTGAGGTGGGAGGGGAGAGCTTTCTGACTTTACCCCATGTGTCTCCTCATCCAGCCTGGAGATGACATAGTCTTAATGGCAGAAGCTCTGGAGAAACTCTTCTTGCAAAAAATCAACGAACTACCCACAGAAGAAACTGAGATCATGATAGTCCAGGCAAAAGGAAGAGGACGCGGGAGGAAAGAAGCAGGTAGAATATTGAAATAGAAAGTACAGTGGCTGCATTTCTCTCTGACCTATGTCTCTTATCCAAGTTCAGTGGAAGACTGAGAGTGGTGGGAAGATGGACATTGTATACTGACTGGGGGGCGCTATAGTTTGTACTTACTGGAGGTAATTTTGATATTGGAACTGCCCCCACAGGGTCATGTGACCATGGTCTATCCCAAGCAGAAATGAGTGTACTCTGCCTTTTTGAGAGTAGTCGATGGACTTAAGTTAAAAGAAAGTGTAAGCATGATGGATTTTGCTTTTCCATTTTAAACAAATGAATGTGACCAGAAGCATTTTAATCTAATACCCCAATCCTGGAGCCTTAAGGCTTGTTATTTGAATTATCTTAATGTACATGTATTAGAACCATGGCCTGAATGTGGTACTGGTTGTCTAAAGGCAAAATTTAGCCCTCCTTGTCCGTCTACATGTTAATGCCTTCCCAGTCCCCTCCTCCCCCTTGACATGGGATTCCATATGCCAGCTGGCAGAGAGTTTGCCCACTCAAATGTTTCTCTCTAGGAAACTCTCTAACAGATGCTGTCTACATCTTGTCCCTCTCCGCTCTGTGCTGCAAAAAGGCAATGTTGTGAGGTGGTCCCTGGGTGTGACTGAGGAACACCCTTCCCCTTGGTCTCTCACCCTGCTCTAAAGTGGTGGCAGGAAGGCAAATGGCTAGATTCCAGCACTGCCCAGAGATAAGCAAGGAGAATTAGTCTTGCATATCACTACTTGACTGTGTTGTATATGTCAGGTCAAGTCCCTTTTTCTTACATAAGAAGCCCAGTTCTCCGTCTCTGAGAACAGTGGTTTCGGCCACATCCTGGGCAGACATGGCATTAGCTACTGTATTCCAGTCTGGGAGAAGCCCAGGAGTGATGCCTGGGGAGGGAGAATTGGGAAACACAGCAGAACTTCACCCTTGGAACATGGGTGCTGCTGCTCAAGGACAGCCCACAGGTGAAGGCTGCTTTTTTGAGGCATAAGGTGTCAGTTCTTGTCCTTGCAGCCAGTGTGCATACAAAGAATGTAGCAATCCAAGTAATCTCCCAGTCTCTGGTCATAACCCCTTTGTTTTTGGAGCTGGTGGTCCATGATATGACTGTTGTATGTTCAAGATTGCCTACACAGTGGCTGGGAGGCAACTCAAGCCAATCACAAAGGACAGCAGCAGTCCAGCTGCCCTCTCCTGGGGAAGTAGGGGCCTGCCAGTTTCCAGAAACTTTGGTGAAGACAGCAACTGTCAGCCCCTGCCAGAAGTGCTTACGCAAAAGGCAACATTAGTGGAATTGAGGGCAGCTGTGGCTAGAGCCTCCAAGGAGCATTTTGCTGCACTCCATCCACAGTTCTGGTGTTAACATTCAGCATGTGTGGGCAGTGCCTGTGGCTCAGTGAGTAGGTTGCCGGCCCCATATACTGAGGGTGGTGAGTTCAAACCCGGCCCCTGCCAAACTGAATTTAAAAAAAAAAACAGCTAGGCGTTGTGGTGGGTACCTGTAGTCCCAGCTACTTGGGAAGCTGAGGCAAGAGAATCACCTAAGCCCAAGAGCTGGAGGTTGCTGTGAACTATGACGCCATGGTACTCAACCAAGGGCAACAAAGTGAGACTCTGTCTCTGAAAAATAAAAAAATAAATTCAGCATGTGTTTCCTGTTCCTGAAGCCCAGGCCTCTATGCTTCATGAAGTCTTTGGGCCCAAGTTGAGAGTTACAGCTAGGACATCCCAGGAAGCAGGAAGTGGGGTTTGCCGCTGTGCTCTGAGTACTTGGGACAGCTGGATGAGTTTGGCAGAGTGAAGTCTGGGGTGTGTAGGACTTTTGGTTTTCAGGGAAATGTGCCATGCAAATGTGTGCTTGTCATGTGTGTTACTGTCCCTGCAGGATCAGCCAGTGGATGTTAGCACAGCCTCTGACTCTGTCCTTTTTATGATTGGCAGGGACAGCAAAACCTGGCGCCTCTACGGTACCAAACACAACTCAAGCATCAACTCCTCCGCAGACCCAGACCCCTCAGCAGAATCCTCCACCTGTGCAGGCCACGCCTCACCCCTTTCCTGCTGTTACCCCAGACCTCATCGTCCAGACCCCTGTTATGACAGTGGTGCCTACCCAGCCACTTCAGACGCCCCCACCAGTGCCCCCCCAGCCACAACCCCCTCCCACTCCAGCCCCCCAGCCTGTGCAGAGCCACCCACCCATCATTGCGGCCACCCCACAGCCTGTGAAGGTGAGCGTCTGGATGCTGGTAGGTCTCTGCCATCAAGGAATGTGGGGCTTGCAGGAGACAGGTGGCTCTGTCCTTGCATATGCTTTATGCAAATCCTGACCTGGCTCTCAGGCACTGGGTGGGTGTTGATAGGGAGCAGGAAATCATGCCCTGTTTAAATCACAGCCCAGAAGCAGCTGCTTTACTGGCCTAAAGATCGATAACGAATGTCACACCTCCCATTGGGTCCTTGCCCTGTCTTTAATTTAGACTGTGTGTATTTGCAGTTACTATCTAAATAGTTACTGAATTGTGCTCCATCTCCTCCCTCTGAGCACAGGAGGTGAGGTCCATGGTGTTAGGTAGGAAATGGCTTCCAGAGGTTCTATAGCCTCCACGTGAGCTGATCCGGCTGCACTCAGTTGTGTCCTTTCTTCTCCTGCCACTGGCAAGCTTGTGTCCTAGCTGCAGAATGGAATTGGGATAAGATCTCCTGGTCTTTAGTTCTATATCCTGTAAATGTGGGGACCCTAGATAGGGCCTGGCTTCAGGGGTGACCTTGAGGGGCAGCTGTGCCACCTCAAATCATGCCTGTCACACGTGTTCCTAGCAGACAAAGAAGGGGGTGAAGAGGAAAGCAGACACCACCACCCCTACCACCATCGATCCCATTCATGAGTCACCCTCACTGCCCCCGGAGCCTAAGACCACCAAGCTGGGCCCCCGGAGGGAGAGCACTCGGCCCGTGAAACCCCCAAAGAAGGATGTGCCCGACTCACAGCAGCATCCAGCACCAGAGAAGAGCAGTAAAGTCTCAGAGCAGCTCAAGTGCTGCAGTGGTATCCTCAAGGAGATGTTTGCCAAGAAGCATGCCGCCTACGCCTGGCCCTTCTACAAGCCTGTGGACGTAGAGGCACTCGGCCTGCATGACTACTGTGACATCATCAAGCATCCCATGGACATGAGCACAATCAAGGTGAGCTTTGAGCAGGGAGTCTTGGGACTGGTTAACTTGTGTGGCTATGTAGACCTTTCAGTGCTCCCTCCTGGACCTGTGGGGACAGTGTGCTTGGCCAGTTTGATGGCTCAGAGTGCTAGCTTCTTCCCCTCTTCCAAGGCTAAGGAACCTGTGGCCTTTGGATTTCAAGTTTTTTGTTGTTTTTGTTTTTGATTTTTTGAGACAGAGCCTCAGGCTATCCCCCTGTTTAGAGTGCTGTGGCATCACAGCTTATAGCAGCCTCCAACTCCTGGGCTCAAGCGAGTCTCTGCCTCAGCCTCCCAAGTAGCTGGGACCACAGGCGCCTACCACAATGCCCAGCCATCGTTGTTTGGTGGGCCCGGGCTGGATTCGAACCCGCCACCTTGGGTGTATGTGGCTGGCGCCCTAGCCACTTGAGCCACAGATACCGAGCCAAGTTTGTTTATTTTAACTACCAAAGGAGTCAAGAAAAGCTTCACTTTTCTCTGTTGCATCCCTTTTAATAAAAGGATTTGTTTTGTAAAATTTGGATTTGGTCAAAAGGCTATAAAAAACCCGAGAAGGCCACATTTTGTATTGATGTTGCGGGTTCCCCGTCCCTGCTGGTGGAAAAGCAAGTGTAGCCTTCTGGCCTTAGGGGCCCAGTGCTTTGTGTTCCTGGCACAGAGGAGATGAGATACTCCATGAGAATTTGGGGCACCTTGCTGTCTTCTGTGTGGAGGAGACAAGTACATGCTGGTATTTTCACTGTCTTGAGGCCTTTTTGATTTTAAGACTTGTTGCATTTTTCTCATAGGGTAGAATACTTTAGAGCTGGGGATAGAGCTGTGTTCCTTTAACACTGTCCTGTACTCACCAAGATAAGCATATACCAAAGTGGAAGTGGACCCAGCCCTCCTATTTTCGCTTCTTTGGGTCTGGCTTAAGCTCTGTCTCCTCTGTGGAGTCTCGTCTCCACCTTCCCTTTAGGCAGTCACAGTGATCCTGGTGGATGAGCTTGGGGTATGGGAAGGGAAGTTCCCGGTCCTGAGACTTGCTGTTGAGTGTCTCCTTGCCTGCCTGATGCTGAGAACTGGGGTATGGCTTGTCCCCTCACTAGGATCTGGATCAAACTGAGAGCCACTGTGAAGACTTACCTCCCTGTTGGAACATGGACAGTCATGGCTAACGGGGACCTATCTTGTTTTTCCAGTCCAAACTGGAGGCCCGTGAGTACCGTGATGCTCAGGAATTTGGTGCTGATGTCCGATTGATGTTCTCCAACTGCTATAAGTACAACCCTCCTGACCATGAGGTGGTGGCCATGGCCCGAAAGCTCCAGGTGAGGCTCTGGGGAGGGCGTGGCCACCTTGCAGTAGAGAGGCTGATTTCCTGGTGGGACCACACTTCTGTGGGCCTTGGCAGATTTTATTTCTTTCAACAGTTTTTAGGATGATTCCTTATTGCTTTGGAAACGTGCACTCAACTCAGGTTGATGTATATGTTTTAAGTTGGGGTTATTTAATTATGATTAAAACAGGGTGGCTGGTGTTGCTTTGGTGTGTACACCAAAAATCCTCTCCCCACCTTTCACACTTGGTTGTTTGGCTGGAAGATCATGTGTGTTTTGTGCATGAGGCCAATCTGTTCTCCAAAACAAACTTGTCTCAAGTCAGCAGGGGACATTCTTGATTGTGGACATTTCTTCACTTCACCAGAGCCTTGAAACCCTTTGTTTGCAGAGTGGCTATTTCCCTACAACCATAATTCCCTAATGGGTGAGGTTCACAGGCCCTTTAAGTTGAAAGTCCCACGTGGGGGGGTTGCTCTCTTAATTTGGTATTGTTTGTATTCTTTCTTCACAAAGACAGCTGCCTAGCTGACCACTGTAGTTCAATGATTAGAACTCTTCCACCCTACCCCCTCCCACCACCAGGGGTGTCAGGTTCTCACCTGGGCCTGAGAAACAAACAAAACAAAAGAGGACTACCTCTTCTCCATTTATGTTTATATTTCCCACCCTTAAGGAGTTGAGGCTTTTTAATTTTAATGCAATTTTTATACAGGGCCACACGGTGGCAGTGGTGCCTTCAAATTGATGCCTTAGGCTCCTCCATCCTTCCCTCCCACTAAAATAGGGGTAGCTTTTGCCCACACTGATACCCATAACCTTTATTTGCCCTCATGGAAACAGCTAAACCAAAGCAAGTTATCCACCAGCACCAAAGATTGCTGTTTTGAGCTACTTTATTTTAAAAAAGAAAGGGAAAAACAATAGAAAGCATCCTCTAATGTTTTCTAGCTCCGTCTTTATAATTTTTGTGTCTGTCTTCCTGTCCTCCATTGACATCCTGGAGCCACCTCCTTTTTACAAATTTGCTTTTCCAATAAAAGTTTTTGGTTTTTTTTTAAATTTTCTTTTTACATTTTTCTCCTTCTGGGGATAGAGTGAGTCTATGCAAGTATAGTTTACCTGTAACAAGCAGTGTCTGCTACATAACAGCTTCTTCAGCAGAGGAGCTGATTCTGGATATCAGGCTGGAGTGGACTAGGATTTGCTCTTGAGGAGGGTCCAGGGTAGGCAGGAGAGAAGAGGGTACCTCTGCCACCACCTTACTTTGCCTATCCCAGTGTGATATTGTTGACCCAGCCGCAGGTAGCTGATCCCCCTTTTCCCTGATGGATACTGGCTGCTGGGGTCTACTGCTCCTCGCCAGTACTGTCCTCCCTGAGGAGATTCCTGCTTCAGTACGTCTTATCGGGGTTTCATTGTCCTCTTGCTGGTCCCGTAGTAATCCCCTGACTATGTTCTTGCTCCTCTGTCCATTCTTGAGAGGACAGGGGTAGCTGTTTGCATTTCCCCCCCCCCCCCAAAGACAGAGTCTTACTCTATTGTCCTGGGTAGAACGCTGTGGCATCATAGCTTACAACAACCTCCAACTCCTGGGCTTAGGTGATTCTCTTGCCTTAGCCTCCTGAGTAGCTGGGACTACAGGCACTTGCCACAATGCCCGGCTATTTTTTGTTGCAATTTGGCCAGGGGCAAGTTTGAACTTGCCACCCTCGGTATATGGGGGCAGCACCCTACCCACTGAGCCACAGGCGCTGCCTGCTTTTTGCATTTTTGTTTTTGCCATCCTCTCTGGAGCTTTGAGGTGGCATCTGTCTTCTGGTACTTGGCTTGGTATCCACCTTTCATGCTGAGGGCTCACACACCCTTCTCAGTTACTCTGGTTCATCTTGACCTCTTGCTGTTTCTAGCACTTAGAATAGTTTACAACTGTTTATGAGGTCTGACAATTAAATTCAGAAAGTCATCCTAGAAAAAGTGCTGCATACCTCATTGCTAAATGCCACTAGCATCACCTTTGAAGTACTCCCCTCGGGAAGCTATGTGCCAATGACAGGACCAGATCCATCCTTCAGAGCAACTTCATAACTCTTTCTGAAATGGCCATCAAAGCTGTCATCTAATTACCCTTGATGTCCTGAATGTTATCAAAATGTCTTCTTTTTGATATTTCTTTTATCTTTGGGTAACAGAAAAAGGCATCAGGGCTAGTAGGGAAGGTGTTCTAATACAGTTATTTGTTTACTGGCTAAAAACTCCCTCACAGTGCTGGGTGAGCTAGACTATTCTTGTGATGCAAGAGCCATGAATTTTTGGCCAAGATTTACAGTTAAGATTTTCTGTGAGTAATACTTGGTCTGCTGAGCTTCTCATAGTAAGCCAACAATTTTGACACACAATTTGATGAGTTTTTGCAATGTTTTTGTCAGTTCTGCTTGTTACTGGCTGCCCTGACCTCTCTTTATCAGTGACACTTTCTCTCCTCTCTGAAAAACATTTAATCCATTTGTACATTGCTATTTTCTTCATTGCATTATCTCTATAAACTTAGAATTAAATGTTCTGGGTTTCACTTCCATTCTTGCCAAGTTTAACAAGAAATTTATGAATTATTATTATTATTTACTTTTCTTTCTTTTTTTTTTTTTTT